GCTCCCATGAAACCTTATTTTGTTTCTGGCTTCAATTCAAGAAGAAAACAGATGGACAATACATTTGCATTCGTTTTCTTTTCGCCACATGTTTCATCACGTCTAAATCTTCTTTGCATCATGATAACACAATCGCACAGCACTTGGGCGAGTTTTGGAGGGTTTAGCTGTTCCCCAAACTCAAAAATGGAACATACTCAGATTCGTTTGCGTAGGATTTCCGTGCATAGGGAATCCATACTGTGACATCAAGATCACTCCCTTTTGAAGCTAAACCCGTCATAGTCGAACCAGACGGAAACACTTTGAATTTCCATCTCTGCAAAGACATTACGACAGTTTGGGAAGAAGGAAATTGTACATCACAATTACAAAAAATACTCAAGCATACAGAGAAGGAAAACAATTTATAGTAATGACCCACCTTGTGTTTTCTGATGATACGGCCGATTTCATGCATGGATGACATCTTCTCTTCGTAGTCTTTAGGTGTCTAACAGAGAAAATTTCATAACGACAGTTGAACAAGTCCAATGTATTCCTGAGAATCCAAAATACCTCACGATTTGCCAGGTAGTAGTCATCTATTTCTCGAGAGAGGTCTCGCAAATCTTCACCATACGCGAAATGGCGAGAAAGAAGCCTGGATTAATAGAATAGTAGAAAAAATACAAGTGTTTCTCAAATACACTCCAAAAGGACAATATGGACTGATCAAGATAGAAATCAAGTCATCCACGGCAGCTCTTAATGAAAAATGAACGACAGCTTCCCAAAGAAGTGATACCACAGGTAGAGCGAGAAACGAGTAGTACACACATGCTGTTATGGTAGTGCATAAAATGCCGAATGCTATTGCGAGCTCCTGTGGACAGCAGCCGGTAGTTCAAAAAAAATCCGGGAAAAAGTTCTGTACCTTCTAGCTTGGTCGCTGAGCTCCTCGCTGATTTCGACCTCATAAGGAGGATGGTCACTTGCACTTCCCTCCTCACTCCCCCCCCCCTCCCAAAAAAAAACGCAAGACTCTCAACCAGGAAGTCAAGGACGTGGCCGCAGCAGTACGACTTCCCCTGAAATCGGGGTCTTGCTACGACCCCCGAGGAACGTGAAAGCAAGTTCAGAGGACTATGCCCGATTCGCTGGGAGTTGCGGCGCGGTTGATTCCTGGGTAAGATTTGCTGGAACTCCAACCAACTCCAAACCTTGCCAATCTACATCCTCATTGAAAAAACACCATTCCCCCATTTCATAACCTTTTGAAGAGTAAGTGGTAGGGAAATTGCTCGGAAAGCATTCCATTTGGAGTGGGTCTCTCGACTGCGCCGAGTCAGCGTTTAGGACGATAAAGTTCTCAGGCGAGTTTCTCCACTTAAAAGCAATATCTCTCTCTTATTTTGTGAGAACTTGAAAAAGGCAAACAGTTTTGAAAAGAGAAAAAACTTGCTCTTTCTACTAGTCTGTTTAGCGCTTTTCCAAATCTCTTAGGTTGGAGAGATATTTGCGTCGAGGATCTATCCAGGAAGATCATTGAGCATTTAAAGAGTCGCTCTCTTCTTCACCATTGCAATTACCCATGGAAACTCTAGATATGTCTCTAGAATACATTCCTCCAACAAAGCCATTAAAAATACGCCATTGTCATCGTCCGATTTCGCCTTCATAGAGGCTATGCATCCGACCTCCATTCAAAGTTGAGAATCGACTGAAAGGTGACCTGCTGACAGAAACTGTATTGTGGTAAACACACGTCGTAACTCCTATAACCTGAGGAGCAGCTTCACTTGCCCAGGGCCATTCCTTCACTGCTCATTCTCAACGAGGTATTAAGGGCGAGGGAGCGAGCGATAGGCAGAGGAGGTGCCTTTGCAGCGCGTGCGCACATGTGGCCCCGTTCTTTGCGGGGATGCACTTTCATTCTTTGTACTGCTTCAAATACGTCCTTCTCATGAAGGTAGAGGAATGGAGCGACTGAACCTGCAAAGAATATTTTATATCATGTTTTCACATATCCTTCGTTTTCTGCTGCGCTACACCCTCTCCCTCCTATCTGCACCACGATGCCACTGATGTGCTCGTTACTGACCCCCACGAGTACGACCCCCCTGACCACACGGTTCAATAATAACAGTCCCCCGCCCGCGTCGAGGATTACCCCGACCAATATTCACCCTGCTGTCGAATGACCGATCGGAGATGAGAAGTGGGTCTTCTCCAAACATGTTTGGAAGACGGCTTCAGCTCAATAAAGGAGAAGACCAGGAATTCGTCCTGGAGCCCGATCCCCTGTGTAAAATGCTTTTGTGGTGTTGGTGTTCGAGGCGGCATGAAGCGCCTGGCGTTCTTCAGTACAGACGATTGGCGCCGACAAAGATTGCATAACTAAAAAAGCTAGAGGCGTACGTCCCCAAACTCCTGGATCTTACGCGCATCGACTTCGACCAATACAGCGCAAGTGCCTACTGATACGATCTTGCGCCAGCTGAAAAGCCACGGAAGGATAGTCACCTCTTTGTCTCAACCTCAGTGCAGTAGTCACCTCGCATACCCGACCACCGACTCCTTAGCCATCACGAGCGCTTAACAGAATAAAAAAAATGTTTGAGAACACAAACGAGTTTCGAGCGGAATCAGACAAATTCCTCAGACCGCCACCATCGCGATCGCTCCATCGCTTGTTCGTCGCCGAGTATGACGGCGGTCTCAAATGGCAGCCTAGATGGCGAGAAGAGAATGGACAAACTACCAAACGATGGGGACAAATGGGTAAGGGTAAAGATTTTTGACCTCCGAGGTGGTTCGTTTATGAAATGATTACGAAGAAATCGTGAAGAAAGCTTTCTAACTTAATGAATTTGGTGGAGAGTACAAAACTTTCTTGCTTTTCTAGCTTGTCAGTTGGCAAAACCAAGAGAATATATAACTAACAAATAAGCAGGGGGAAATCTAAAACTGCTTACTGTGAAAATCGCTTCTGAGCGCTCTCAATGGCGCTGACGTTCATCTCGATGTTGTACGCAAGCTCATAACCTTTATACTTTGCCAAGGCAGTCTCCTCACCATCGCACAACTCACTCATTTTCTGCAAAAAAGGGACTACATTACCTAAGAAGATCACCTGCGTCAAGAAATATTATGTCGTCGATTGAATTGTACCTTCTGTACGTAACACCCAGCTTTTTTATTGCTCGCAACAGTTCTTGTCCTTTACGGCGAATGCTATATTTCTTTTACTCCTTGTGAGCATAATTCCATTTTTCCCTCTTTTTCTCCTTTCGTCTCTATGTTCGGGGCACAATGTGCCTCCGCTGGCCTGTATGTCGGAAGCCCACTAAGACTAAACCTAACGCAGAGGGACGAATTCAGGAGCGAATGGGAATTGCTTACGCAGCCCGGCTTCCCTCTTTTTTTTTTGTTCTTCAGACCTTGGTCCCAAAACTAAACGTTTTCGTGAGTCCAACGCAATGTTTCAAGTGGAGCTAAATTGCGCCGGTTCAGGTACCATTGTTAGGGTCTTTTCCAGCAAGGCCGACAGTTTATATTATCGAAGGGTGCCTTTAAAGGTCGTACGAGCGATACATATATATTGTTGTGCGATCGTTACGATCGGACAACCGCCTCTAAGGAGCGCTTTAGGGCAGTCCTAGGTACCATCGAGTAAGAAGGGAGCATGTGGTGCGACAGTTCAAATCGCCTGAATTGCTCCAAATTTCGCAAAGGACGAAGCCGCGGCGTATGTGTAACAACCCAAGCGGAGTAGTTCGCTCGTTCCAGGGATTTACTGCCTCTGCAGAAACTGAGATTTCTGCTAGACGGCAGCAGCTGTCGCTTTAGCTACTTCCCTTTATTGGATTGGATCCGTAGTCCCATTTCTTTGCAAAACTTTCGCCTACTTCCAGTATGACTGTAAAAGTGGATGCGAAATGATTCACGTACCTGGGGATTTCTTTTCCTACAAATATTCGAGGGGGCATCAAGTGGCAGCACATGCCCCTCCCTCTCAGTGATCGTTATAGTAGGACATGACGCAATTGCACAAAAAATGGACCATAGTTTTATGTTCCTCGCATGAGTCCCTACAAAAAGTGCACTTAATCGTTTTGGAAAAGCGCTCCATGACCTGAGAGACCCTCCTTGCAGGTGATCCTTGTCCCTCCATTTACATTTTTTCAGCAAGACTTCGGAATGAATTTGCAAAAAAATCGCCATGTGCGGAAGTTGAAGAAAAAAATCAATGAGCTTTTTCTAATGGGCGAACTCTCCGAAGAAGAGGCTCGAGCTATCGAAGAAGCAGAGGCTGCTGCTGCTGCTCGAAATTTGGCTTCCTGTTCAGAATCGGGGACTTCAAGCAAGGATGTTGGTGAGATCGCCGTTCTGTTTATTTTGGGTGTTTTTCTGCATTACTTTTGAGATGTAAAGGACTCGTGTTCATTCAGTCACCGACTCTTCAATGAAGATTTCAAGGAAATTGGCAGCTGCGCGTTATCAACGCCAGCCTGGACCGCAGTTGACATTAACGTTGGAGCGTCTTGGTGGAGTTTATATGTCAAATCCAGGTGATTTTTGAGCAGTTGTTCTATCAATGCTTTTGCAACGAGTTTTGTTGTAGCTTCACGTCCTTTCGTTATATAAAGCTTTCAGAGGTTCGAGAACTAGTGCAGTATTCTGTCATTGGACCCATTGTAAATAAACCAAAATGGGCTCATTTTCGACCGTGGAAAAGCACTTCGCAAACAATTCTTATTCGAATCAACTGTCCAAATGATTATATAGCAAGTATTTACTTCCTCTCCTTGGCTTTTCTTTTCAGCAACGGATTTTGGTCCTAATCTTGAATTCTTTCAGGATGATAATGAGTTTTCGTTCAACTTTCTTGATACATTTTTTGAAAAAAGTTGGATTCGAATGGATTCCGCAGTAGGAGACCGTAACAGTTTTTGGAATCACATCATGCATGTGCCTGTGAGCATTCAAGAACAAATTCGTGAGCGTGTTCTAGTGAGTCTCCTTCAATTTCTTCCATTCCAGGTTCAGCTTTTAGAAGTTTGGATTTTTATCGCTAGGCCATTTTCACATAATAATTATTATGAAAAAGTTTCCTTGTTTCTTGAAACGTAATGCGATATTTCAATTGCAGAAAATTGACCCTCTCGAAGGGCTAGGAAAGAACGACAACTTAAGAACAGAGCTCTTAATTACAACAGCTGAAATGGTGGATAACAGCTATCCACTCCCAGATGGTGATTGTATTATAGCAACTAAAGAAAAGTAAGTGTCAGAAGCGTTCATGATCTGTGCAGGCGGTTTTGGGTGAAATGGAGAATTGTGAGCAGGTCCGACTACCACCCTCGCCATAATGGCTGTTTCTATAGCATCTGATTCGACTTCTCCCTCCGGAACGGCCGTTGAGCGGGGTAGGAGTGAATTCCTTTTTGAAATTCCCCAAATTTTAACCATTTCATGCTGACTTTTTTTGGAACTTTCGTAGAATGTTTCTAGAAAACCAGGCAACTACCTCCCTTCCCGCTTTCACAAACCATCCACCTTCCGAAAATGCCATCCAGTGAATATGTGTAATGAAAAGGGCAAATCCTCCGATTCCGCTCATTTCTCACCTCATTGGCGAGGTTTTCGTCGAAATCGTCGGAAACCACTGTAAATAAGACCGACGTCACGTTCGGTCTCGTCCGTCGCTTGCCAATCGCTCGACTGAGAGTGATTGCAACGCAACGGACAAGCGATGGAGCGTTCGCGATCGCTCCATCGCTTGTCCGTCGCCGAGTGTGACGTCGGTCTAAGTACGATTCCATTCGCTTCTTTTTCCCAAACATAGTTAACCTTCTTAAATCTAGCGATCGTCCCCCAAAATCGCAACTGTGACCCTCTCGTTTGAATAGTGCGAACTGGTGTTGGTCTTGTTTGTGAATTCTCTGCGTCCATCCGTTGTACTTCTGTTCATACACTGCGGTGCACAATAGATT